GAGACTGACCACTGAAAATGAAATACATCATAGTTGTGGGAAAGCAATCCGAGACTAACTTTGTTCGTCGTTCATATGAGTGAAGAGGGATCCACTTAATCCCTCTGCACACGTTGATGATGATTATGTGGGTGGTTCCGTTACCGCAATCCGGTTGTTGGCTGCCGTCAACGCGGTTGAAGGCTTCATATTTCCGTATTGAATTGTGACACACCTCGTCGTTATTTCCTACCACCGCCTTTTATAATATAAATCACAATACATGCTGATCTAACATTTAATTTGATGTACATATTGGAATGATGTTTTTGTTATAAATGTTAGGGTTATAAAATAAATACAACATTACTTGTACAAAAAAGTCCTTAAGTTTCACGTCCAATTTTTATATCTTATATGCTTATATAAATCACATATAAATATATATTACGTTTACTATCGACTAATCCTTTTGTACTGTTTTTATATTGCGTTTGATACTCATAAAACAAAGTGCAAGTACGACTGCTGAAAAAATTCGTGGACATAAAAGATTAAGATTACTTTTAGTTCAATCATTTCAGAACTTGAAACATAAAAATTGAATATGAAGCTGGTAATAATAATAAGTCGATAATGCTGAATTATTCAAAGCTTTAAGCTAAAATTACGGTCAGTTGAAAAATCCTTCAATAATTTTCTATATTGGAAAAATTGATGAAGAGTAAAACCATGTGTTTTGATAGAGCACCAAGGCAATCACAATTCCTCACAAATAGGCTTAAAATAATAATAAGATCGACTTTAGTAAAGTATTAGTGATGTTTTTACGTTTTGCCGCCTTAAGAATGTATCAGATACCAACCAAATTGCTTTGATGAAGTATATGGAGTCACAAAACACACATTTCTCTACTTCAACCGGGAAAATGTGTGATGTATGATTCTAATAAAAATGTTGATGAAGAATATAAAGTTGTAAAAGTCAAAATATTGTACGGCAGCCAGTCAATAGTGACGTGCGATATCAATCGATATGAGTAAAGTATCGAATATTTTCTTTCGATACCGAGTAATTTTGGTGTCGAATATTGTAATTCGGTACAAATACTTTTTGTAGTATCGGAAAATATACTCAAATAGATTTTTCGTCGAGTGTTTAAGTAATATTGAATTGTTATGTTTCGTTCGACACTTACCTCTCATCAAACAGGGAATTGACTAGTTACTGTAAGAGCGCTTACTGGCCGCATATGTCAACAAAGTTAATCTAGATTTTTAATTGGTGGTTGGTAACTCTGCTGATTATTCTGGTAACTCATAATTCTTTCCCGCGTCGCTCCTCGCACTTTCAATTTCTTATCAAATGTTTTTGTCTTCGTCCCTAAAATGTGTTCGCCTTCCTTCTCGTAGGTAGATACGTAATCATGTCTCCTCCCAAAAGTAAGACATGAGGTTAATTTACTAAGAAAACTGAATCGTTGGCATTTTGTAAACTCTGGGGATAACAGTGGCAATACGTCTTATCTTTTCAAACATTTGAAAACCAAAACCCGTTGGTCAATTTTCTCAAAACTCGATAACGATAAAATTGAAATATCAATTATGTGTAGAGATTAGTGACCGTTAATCGATAGTTATTCAGATATCGTGAGATGCGGTCGGGTGTGATGTAGGTTTCAGAAAAACATTTTCTTTATCGTGCCAACGTTTCGGTCTTTATTGANTTTGTATATCCCAGGCCCTGAAGATGATCTCAATAAAGACCGAAACGTTGGCACGGTAAAGAAAATGTTTTTCTGAAACCTACATCACACCAGACCGCATCTCAGAATTCTGAATAATTATCGATTAACGGTCACTAATCACCACACATTTAAAATAAGTAATCATACTTGTTTCGGTTTTGGTGGTTCAATTTGTATGTTACACTAACATTATTTATTTTCCAATTTTTCTCACTTTGATGATCCCAATAAAAGATCGAAACGTTGGCACGATAAAGAAAATGTTTTTGTGAAACCTACATCACACCCGACCGCATCTCACGATATCTGAATAAATATATAAATGTTGAAATGTGTTGGCAGCTTTTCCTTGTTCTTACCTACGTACCCACTGTATGAAAAAATACTTTAAAATGAAAAAAAAAATGCTATTACTTGATTATTTTAACGCATGAGTGTATTTTAACCAAAGTCCACAATAGTAAGTCGATCATTTATGAATCAACGAAAAAGTACTCATATAAGTAAGTACTCGTTAGTATCGAATAATTTTTGTCGCCACATGAGTAGTATGGAATATTTCTTTTGATACCAGTAGTCGATATATTTTCGGGTAGTATAGTGGCAATACGTTTTATCTTTTCAAACATTTGAAAACCAAAACCCGTTGGCCAATTTTCTCAAAACTCGATAACGATAAAATTGAAATATCAATTATGTTGAAATGTGTTGGCAGCTTTTCCTTGTTCTTACCTACGTACCCACTGTATGAAAAAATACTTTTAAAAAACTGCAATTTCTTGATTATTTTAACGCATTAGCGTATTTTAATCGAAGTCCACAATAGTAAGTCGATCATTTATGAATAAACGAAAAAGTACTCATATGAGTAAGTACTCGTTAGTATCGAATAATTTCTGTCGATTCTTGAGTAGTATCGAATATTTCATTCGATACCAGTATCGGGTACTGGTATCGAATATTTTCGGGTATCGCACGTCACTACCAGTCAAACGATTGTATCGCCCTGCTTATAATCCTAATATCGTGTTATCTATGTACATGTTAGAGTTATTTTTCACAAATGTAAATGCTTGCTGAAGTATGTGCAGTTGTGTAAACCAAAATAATATACTTGATTCAGTCAAATGTTTGCCTCACCGGGCTTATTACCCTCACATAACGGTATTTAAATACAAACAGGTGACTGAGTGTTTTTTTTTTAATTGAATCTAAAAGGAAGTACCCAATCGAAAATAAATTAATTCGACGAGTTTTACAAACCGCATTAATCTTCTTAACCCAGCCAGATTTTTTCCTACTTATAATCCCCACATCGCGTTTTCTAAATATAATAGGATTATAGAGTTTTTCATTCAAAACCCAAAATAAAGTATTGGATTCAAATCAAAATGTTTGATGAGGTATATGGCGTTTTAAAAAAACCCATTGGTAGTTCTCCAGCCAGCCAGATTTTTGCCTGTTTTTAACTCTAACACTACATATATAGAATTACATTTAAAGCATTGATGAATTGCATGCAATTTTGAAAGAAACAGTTATAAACTTCAGCCAGTCAGGTTTTTCCTGCTTATAACCCTAACATAGAGCTATTTAAATATAAAGTTATCCAATTTTTTTTAATCAAACGCGTATCAGATTAAATAAGATACTTGATAAAGTATGTTGAATTGTAAAAATAAAAATAATCTATTTCAGGGAGTCATAACCATAACATCGCGTTATCTAAACAGAAAATGATAGTACAATTTTCTTCTTCGGAACCAAAAAAACCGTACGCAATTCCAATTGCTTGATAAATTTTACAAAGTAAAATACCGTTGCTAATAAAGTTATTCAGATATCGTGAGATGCGGTCGGGAGTGATGTAGGTTTCAGAAAAACATTTTCTTTATCGTGCCAACGTATATTATATTTTGCATTGTATAAATTCACTTATTCACATCCTAAATGTATTTGTTAAATGTAAACATTGTTTGTAAATCCCAGGCCCTGAAGATGATCTCAATAAAAGATCGAAACGTTGGCACGATAAAGAAAATGTTTTTCTGAAACCTACATCACACCCGACCGCATCTCACGATATCTGAATAACTATCGATTAACGGTCTCTAATCTCGGTTGCTAATAAAATAAAGCATTACTAGAAAAGTAAACTGCTCCAAATCGGCCTCGTTTAAAGCATAAAATGTTCACAGAAATAGATTCTTAGTTTATTGCCTCCCTCAGTTTTTAACCCTTACATCGTTTTATCAAAAAGGCGGAAGGGTTATTTATATACATATTTGCTTTGTCCTGAAAAAATGATACCGTATAAAAATTAAATGTTGTCAGAAAGATGAATGAACTATTTTTCACATTAAATTAAATGATATTTATGAGTTTGTAAGACGTTTTTAATAACAAATAATAACAAGATGTAAAAATAGGGGCAGCCAAAATGCGCCAGCAATCAGGTCGAATACTAATGAAAAAATAGTAGACATTTTATTAAGTCGAAGAACTTAATATTTTAAGTACATTGAAATGAACTATAATTTTTTCTAAGGTCTTGGATGAGATGTAAAAGCTACGGGTTGGATTCGAACCCACGAACTTCCGCTCAATTCGCCGCTGCTCTAACCACTTGAGCTATCTTGACTTCGATCCTTTCGGACACCATATCCTCAATTCAAGTAGATACACCAGCGGCGTATTGAGCCGAACGTCGTGGGCTCGAAACCCGATCGTGGCACTACCTTTTTCATCTGATCCAAGACCTTAGATAAAAAGTATAATTAATTTAAATAATTAATGGGTCACTTATGACCAGGAGGTCCGAAGTCGTCGAATGTAATGTACAATATGCTGCAAGTGCCTTTAATCAGTTCACTTATGACTACTAAATGCAGCTATGGAATTTTAGTACAGTTAGAAGGCAAATTTCAAGTTTCAATTATTTTTATTAGAATAGTCAGCGTTATTTCAAATAATACATTTCATTGAAATTTTGCTTCAAACAATTTTTTGTTATGATGATATCCCGTAAGGTATCAAACCAGTGACAGCCCTTACAAAGAGTATTTTTAAATTATTATTTGGAGGTCATGAGATGCGGTCTGGTGTGACGTAGGTTTTAGAAAAACATTTTCTTTATCGTGCCAACGTTTCGATTTTTACTGAGATCAACTTCAGGGCTCAAAGTGTTTGTTTTTCGTGTAGAAGTGTCATTCTTGTCTGTCGTGTTGAAAGTGCCCCGTAGTTATCCTGTAATACATTACTTTTGATTAAACAGTTTCAGTTAAGTGGAAAGATGGGCTGTGGGCCTAGTTCCAGGCAGAACAGCAAGGAGCTCAAGTTGCCCGGAGCCAACCTCATCTTCAACCACGGACAACTGCAAGCTCTGAACAATTATTTTTCAGAAATCATCGATTATTCAGACTGTAAGGCTTAAATATTTTTCATGTCTTTCGCATAAAAGTTTGAGATTTTTACAGTATTATTTGTTTACACTAGTAAAGATATTTTCTTAAATGTTCTTCCATTCTAGATTTTACAAGAGATCCAGCACAGGAAAAGAGCCTTGTCCTGATCGAAAGATTAATCCAAAGACTGATTTGTGGCGTTGGGACGTTGGACAGCCGGTTTTCTTCTAAGCACCTAATTTGTTTAGAGCCACATAAATTGACGAATAAGGTAATACTTACCTAATCGTATTTTTATTCGATTTTTGAAACTGAAATGTTTAAAATGAAGAGTTTACAACATTACTTCATTTGTCTAATATTGTACTACAGTTGTTAAGAACTGTCATGATCATTTAATTTAGCTTACAACAATCAACCTGATCTGCCAATATTACAACCGGGAACTTTCTAAAATTAATTTCTTGATAGTTGAACATATATACAATTTAACATTTGAACTCCTAAATTACACTAGATTACTATACAGGGTCCCGTTGGTTTTCTAAGTGCAAGACACATTATTTAATTATATTTTTTTAAGCCTGGAAACAGTTTGAGTTATCTGGTGAGACTGGACGAATTATCAACCCCCCATCTGTATCCGGAAAACGGAGGCCCATCTTGTCAACTGATCGAACCAGAAGGCGGCCCGCAGGGATTTGCTAAGGTTCGGATTTCTGGACCGGGTTCGGAGCAGTGGGCCGAGTTTATCGGCAATCAAGGTTTCCTTCGCAGGTTAATTTTTTTTGGAAAGCAGCGGCTTTCCCAAAGTTCGATTAGGTCTTAACTGAAATTTTTCTTTATCCAGGGACAAGATGCAGGAACGGTTCGTGGAACTTCTGGCCGGTTCTGCCGGCCGCAGCACCCTCGTCGGAAGACCTGCAGAAGTCGACGAAAGCGCGCTCTGCGGAAGCCCGGGCAAAGTCATCGACGCGACTCACGTACAGAGGCTACTTCAGGCTTCGCCAAGACAAGTATTCTACGGTTCAGGTAAAATTTAAACAAAAAATTTGTGTAATATTAAGGGTGGAATTTTTTTGCCTCTCAGTGTATTTTGATTGTGATTCTTGGTCGATTTTGTACTATAAAATACAAAACAATCTCATAGTATGTAGTAGATAGCATTGTTGAATCAAAAATGGTACAAACAAACGTCTGGAGGGTTAATAATTAACTGAAGATTTGATGTTTTATTGATTAATGTTTTGTAGCGACCATTTAATAAATGCAATTTATGGTTTTTTAAGTACACTTTGCGAATCCTAAAGATTGATGCTGATTTTAAATGAAATTGTTTGCTTATCGATCTTTTTTTAAGGACTTATATATGCAGATTTAACACCTTTATCCATACTGATTATTTGGAGTTCATGAGATGCGGTCTGGTGTGACGTAAGTTGTAGAAAAACATTTGCATTATTGTGCCAACGTTTCGATCTATATTGAGATCATCTTCAGGGCTCAAAATGTTTGTTTTCCGTGTAGATGTGCCATTCCTGTCTGTCGTTTTCACACACACACACACACACACACACACACACACACACACACACACACACACACACACACACACACACACACACACACACACACACACACACACACTGTTTTTCTAAAACGTACGTTACACCAGACCGCATCTCACGACCTCCAAATAATCATCAAGTAACCGTCACTAAACACCCCACATTTATCTATACTGTTCTAAACTACTAGACTAAACTATATCACTTTTATAAAAAAATCTTTTTCGAAACAGTTTTGGGAATGAACATTACTTAAATTGAATTATAAAGAAATTTTTCGGGTTTATGAAAAGTACTTAGCTAACTAATCAAAAACTCGCACCATTTAACATTTTTAATTTGGTACGGCCGTTGCCTGTCAGATTTAAAAAGTTTCAACTCGGTTGGAAAGTTAGTTTGCCGTTGAAATCCCCGCACTTTCCGCTGAAAAAAAGTGCAAAACAAATTGTCAAACCGGAATTTTAAGTACATAAAGGACTCACCCACCATCTGGCTGGGAGAAAACTCGATTGGGGCACTTCCCCTAGTATCGTACCGGACATTTTCCGTTAATTGAATTTACCGCACGTTCGAGTGATATTTTGCAAAGCAAATCGCTTCGAAATCGGTTTTGTTGCATTAACTTTATTCGAATTATAGTGACTGAAACTCGATACTCAGTGTAAAGTGTGTGGACTGTAGCACGAATTCAATCTGGCTACAGATCTTGCTAAATGGAATTTAACACTTCTAATAACATATTGTTACCGTTATAAATAACATATAATTGATTTCCTACACATTCAAATTAAAACAAATATTATATATAATATATTGCATATTTATAACAATGTGTTAGACTTACGTTTTTTACATCAACTCATTATGAAATAACACAACATAAAAATATATTCATAAAATTGATGTTTATGCCGTAGTTCGCGAAATATCCTGAGGAACTACCAGTAATACTAGCATAAACGTTATATAAAAACTTTCAATTAATTAATCTTTATGTAAGGTATTGGTTGAAGTGAAAAAGTAGGACACCAATTTCCCATCTCAATCTACCCTTAGAATTTTCATTTAACGACATTTGAAAAATAGCAAAAAGGTGGGAAAATTCGAAAGGTAGGTTGAATTGGAAAGTTGTTTTTAACTGGATCAAAGACACGATAGCTCAAGTGGTAGAGCAGCGGTGTATTTAGCCGAAGGTCGTGGGTCGAATCCCCCTCGTGACACTGACTTTTTCAACCAATACCTTACAAAATGATTAATTAATTGGAAGAAGTTATTTGGTCAATCGGACCACGAAATACAATGGGGTTATATAAAAACTACATTTGGGTGGCCAGCAGGGCATTCATAACCTTGACGCCTTCCCATTATTCACAAGTCAGTCTATTGACTGAGGCGGCTGGACAGACAGGACTGCCGCCGGATACAGAAAAGAATGAGATTGATAAAACTCTTTCACGTTTAATTAGCTCAAATATAATTATAAGCTTAGACATAAGCTCTTTCTAGAGAATTTAAAAGATTAAGAAACAAAAAATGATTTCTCCTTTAATTCAACCGAAATACAGGCGGCCATAAACTATGCAAAAATGGAAAATGCTCCAGGCAGAAATAGATTTACCAATCACTGGCATGATTACTCCCTATCTTGGGAAAAGTGCTAGAAAAAATTATGATGAGTAGAATCTAGAATATAATTCTTTCTTAGGACTATCTGACGGCTGCCTATCAGATAGACAGTTTGCATTTGTACCTCAGAAAGTAACTACTGAGGCACTTGTAGTTGTTCAACAGCATATCGACCACAAGGTAGAGACCAAAAAACACGTTCTAATGGTACCACCTGGTCAATAAGTTAGAAATCAGGATGGGTCATCAAATCAAGTGTTTTGTAACTTAAGCCAAGCTTTCAGCCTTTATTGCGGTCTTCATCGGTGCTTTACAAGTAATTACAACGTTTATAATTAAATACAGGTAACACAATAATTACCAGAAAACATTGGATACTTACTCGTTAAAATATTAAAAGTAAAATATTATAATGATAATAGTAAAAACAACAATGCATATATTTGTAACCACCAATTGTGTTTATAAACACAGAATGACACAACACAGACCAAAAGGACTGAATTAGGCAACTGTAGAGAGCGCTAAGAATATTGATATCACTTCTCAAGTTTAGTGAATTGACATGAGATTTAATATGTAACATTTCATTTAGTAATCTTCATACCAAAATTTTTTCTTGTCAACCACATCCACATCATCAAAGTTTATTCCATGATTGGTTTTATGATGATGCCTTGACAAAGCTTTCTTGGCCTACTGTTGTCAGAACAATCATAACCGTGCTGTGTCAACCTGGTATCCAGGTATTGTTTGGTCGGACCATAGTAAACCAAGGGGCAATCTTTACATAGGAGAATTGGTTACCTCTCATATATATATATATATTGATTGATGAATTGCATTCGCCAACGACCTCAAAGGTCATGTTGGAGAATCTGGGAATTAAGATTCTCTCTTAATGGAAAAGTGATCCGAAGAAAATGGTATTACATTCAGTAGTAGAAAACCAAAAACAATGCATATTTCTTAACGGACCAAAGCAAAGAAATTAAAGAATACCTTAAAGGCAAACCATTGAAGCCAGTTCAAAAAATCAAGTACTAAGGGTGGTATTGGACAACAACATGACTTGGAAAAGTCACCTCGACTACGTATGCATTCGGGCATCACGGCTGGTCCATGCCTTATCTCGTTTTGCAGCTATATATCGGGGAATTGGACCACAGGCTTTATGCATTATATACGAAGGAGCCATATCCCCCGTCTTACGGGTTTGGTTCAACATTTTCACTGACGTCAGGACAATTGACGGCCAAATGGGATTTTATATCGTGATCTATAAACAAGACGAGGATACACAGGTGTTCCAACAACCAGACAGAAATTTTGGTCAAACTACAATGGATACGACTACAGATTCCAATACTGCAGGTAGACAGCAGAACATTCTCAATTAACACCGACAGGTACTACTAGCAATTAAGAATAACAACAATGCCACCCAAATGGCACATAACAACAAGGAAGAGGTAAGACATCTCGAGTGTAGGATACAAAATCTTATTTATTGTCAAAGCACACAATGGGTGCCCAGGAAACGAAGAAGCAGATCGGCAAGCAAAAGCGGCTGCAAAAAACGACTCTAGTGACATAAGTTTTACAAGGGTTCCAATAACTTCCGAATACAGGAATTGTAAAGAAAAAATGATACAGGCGTGGGAAGACAGATGGAATAACATCTAAAATGTTTAACACACGAAAATGTTTTTCCCTACTATACAATCAAGCTTCCGCTCCGATTTTGAAATAACTGCACAGTTGACACAGGCATTAAGCGGGATGGCAAAAACAGGTCTTCTTGTTGTGGTCTATCCTTCTGACTGGAGGCATCTACGTACGAATGCACATTTTCCATTGGCGTAAAGATGAAGATAGAGCGGGACATTTTGCTTCAAGAAAGTACCACTCCACCTGTACCAATGGTGGGTGGTTAAGGCACGGGGCCCAAGAAAGGTGTACCTCGTGTCCTCATCGACGTCCCTTTCTCAATCTAGGTTCCTTCCTTCTTCCCTATGACCCCTCCCAACTCTTGGTTTCATGAGGGATGTCCGGGCGCAAAATAATGGTGTAGCCCTGAGGGCATGGCAACCTCTCTAAAGCACAAGCTGTATTAGTGTCGGCTTTGGGTCAGCATGGGGCGGCGGGTGCCTTATCAGAAGCACACGAGGGTTAAGGTACCAGATCCAGTCTGCATAGACCATCTGTACCATCTGTACTAAGGGGTAACAGAAATGTTCCAAGGTTCAGCCCGTGTTACATTGGGAATGGAGTCGTAGTGGTTCGTGGTGACGCCCCTGGCGGGAACTTAAAGAAGAGGCTGTCTTCTTCTGTGACCTTCGCACAACCTTGCGTATGACCATCGTTATACACCCGGCCTCACGGGATGCGGCGGATCGGACCGAAGCATATAAGCTTTGAGGACGCTATGATTACGCTGACAGAGTCCTTCGAATGCGTGAGTAGTGACAGATGGGAATGGGTAGTGAATCGGTTGCTCCTATTCTAGTATTCTTTGCACGCAGGTGTAGGCTGAGCTCGATTGGCGGCTTTTATCGTAGGCAGTCTCCTCTAGGTGGTGGTTAGAAATTCCACTTTAAACAAACCCGCGGCCGGAGCGGATCCGGTAGTTTCTACGGTGGGGAAGCCCCAATACTCTGGGAGATAGAGGGCCTTCTCTATTTAAGGAGTGCGCGGGAGACCAGGCTGATGTATTTTGGCTTAGGTAGCCATTTGCGTGCGGCATACGGTTCGATGCTTAATGCGGATCCGACCACTCGGAATTGTCAAGCGGGGAGCGCGGTTGTCTTGGCCTCTCGGGGCTGAGTTGCCTCTATACCAATGCAGCGGCAGTAACACACTTTTGTCGTATGCGGAGTTGCGTCAGCTCTCATCTTGAGAATCAAAACGTCCGATAAGGCCGGAAGGCTAAGTGCGGATATTAAAGATCCTCATTGTTCTTTTAAGGACGACCAAGTATACGGGAAAGCAATGTACCAACGGTGGATGTTATGCAACTAAAATAATCAAGCCTCGAGAATCATTCTCCCTACTGTTGGCAGTCGGTGGTCAGATCTCGGTCTTATCCTTCCGCCACCACGGTCGGGTTTCGGTTGTTGTCAACAACTAGAGCAGTACAGCACATTGAGCAACCTTTCTCTACATGATGAACCCAACGTGGGCTTTGGCCCAAAAGTAAGTTTTCGTGCGTCAACTTCGCAGGCCTATCGTTAATCGAGTGACGATTCTTCTTCGATTTACATCTTCCGCCTATTGACAGTACTCTTGGTCTGTGAGAGCTTCTCTGTCGACCAGCCCACCGACACTACCAACTTTTTTAAATATTTTTTTTCTTGCATTTTTACCTCAGAGGGCCGGATCGCGGTGGTTATAATCCGGAGATTGGGCTGTCCCGGCCTTAGCCGCCTCGTCCGCTTTTTCGTTCCCCTCGAGACCTATGTGTCCTGGTACCCAGACAACAACCTCCCTTTCGTTGAGACGCCCTATTCATGGTATTTTTCCAAAAAGAGCACACAGAGAGGGTCGATAGAGAACTTGTTACGGACACCAGGAATGTGCTGAGGGAGTCGGTGCAGCCTAGGTAGGCAGAGCCACCATCGTCTCAAATCACGCCAAGCGCGATGTATTTATTATAAGCATTATTAAGTGAAGCATGATGTAATTTGTTAAAACTTGTACCACAGTCTCAAGTCCAAGTCTTGTTTTTGTCAGGAGCATAGTCTATTTTCTCGTTTAAACTTCTTGTTTTTTTTAATGTAAAATAAAAATTAACTTAATACGATGAAAAAAGACTGTTTTCATTAAGGCCAGTGGTCGTGAAAGTATTTTTCATCGTTTCATCGTTCATTTTTTTTGTATCTTTTTGACTCTTAGAAAGTACGACAACATAAAGAAATAGTCAAATAAAATCGTCAATACGCAACATATGAATGTAATTTTGTTACTAGCTTACCAAAAATTACATTACTTTTCTATTGATCAAGTGAATTCTGAAATACCTACAAGATGAAGGAAAAAATGTTAGCTAATAAATCAATTGTGATAAAACTAAATCGTCAACAATTGTGTTTGCTCTTTGCATAAATTATACAACGAGGGATAGAATAAATCTTCGGCAGACCAGTTGGCCGCAATAGATACAGAATAATGCAAAACAAGACCTCAAGCCACATGGAAAAGTGGCGAATTGACTATAGCATCTGGCACTTTACAAAAAATTAAAATATGATCGTGGAAACAATGGAAAAGGTTGAAGCTATCTTAAAGGAAGAAATATAGACACTTGGGAAAAGGAAAAAGGAATACTCAGATACAACGATTTGTTTAAAAAAAAGACGAAATCGGAAATTTAAATTTATGTTTAGATGAAAGAACAGAGGGTTGTGAATGAATTTTACGTAGAAAAAAACCAATAATAATAATATGGGAAGTTTAGGGGGCCGACAAACAGCTAAGGTCATCGCCATGCGTGTTTTTAGTTCTCTTTCTGGTCTTCCGCGCGTATTTTTAATTCTGCAGCCATTTGAGCATCTCGACCTATTACTGACTCACTGATTTTATGTGAAAACTAATGCTAGACTCTCAGTTTTAACTCAGGTTGTCAACTACATACAATACAAATATATACATTTTTTGGAGATGGTGAGATTTAGTATGGTGTGACGTAGGTTTTAGTAAAACATTTTCTTTGTGGTGCCAACGTTTCGATCTTGATTGAGATTGAAGGCCCTGAAGATGATCTCAATAAAGATCGAAATGTTGGCACGATAAAGAAAATGTTTTTCTAAAACCTACGTAACACCAGACCGCATGTCACAATCTCCGAATAATCATTGGTTAACAGTCACTAAACACCACACAAATATATACATCACTACAAACATAGAGATCCGGTCACGTTCACTTCCCCAGAGCACTCGCTATTCCTCGTGGGGGGGGGGGGTTGAACCCTCGCTATTCTCGCTAACAACTTATTTACTAACTCTCCAGACGTTACACTCACCCCAGAGTACTCGTTGTTCCTCGAGGAGGGATGAAACAACTCTATCCTTTCACATTAAGAAATTATTTAAATTACGTTCATTCTAATAAATTAACAAAAACACAATACAAACACTATGTACCTTTAAAAATCCCTACATCCATGAGGTACCGGAACAGAAAACTGTGCCCGCTGCCCCAAGAATATGATAATTATGCAAAAAATTTCTATGTTCTCAAACCTTCTTCAGTTGAAAGCACCTTTATTTTACCCTTGCATAAATAAACCGCGGTTTCTACGCGGTCGTTTTTCTAAGAATGGCTCATGCATTATGCTTATATATCCTATGCGTAGTCTTGTCCTATATACCAAATAATAAACCTTCAAGTAGAACAGGGCTCCATCTCAAATTTTTACTAATTCACTAGTTTTCGCGGTCCGATTGACCAAATAATATCTTTCAATTAATTAATCTGTATTTAAGGTATCGGTTGATAAAAAAAACTGAATAATGGCAAATAGGAGGGAAAATTCAAAAGGTGAGGTTGAGATGGGAAGTTAGTGTCCGGGCGGATCGAAGTCAGGATAGCTCAAGTGGTAGAGCAGCGGCGTATTTAGCCGAAGGTCGTGGGTTCGAATCCCGCTTGTGACACTGACTTTTTTATCTCAACCAATACCTTAAATTAATTAATTTTTAGTAATTTTGAAAAATTAATGTATGCTCAATTTTGAAGTAAGAAATGACAAATTAATCACAGATTTCTATAGTTTGTAAAATGAAGGTGTTGTTATCGGTTTAATCAACACCTAGCAAATTTCTGTTTTACCATTTTTTAAAAAATATTTTTTATGTTAATTGGTATGTTCCGTTGAAAAAATCTTGTTCGGTTCGATGTGTGTTTTAATTTAATAATTTAAAACATTTGACCGCGTCAATGAATTGTTCTCTTTCAGGAGAAGGGAGCGTCAAGAAATTTCCGGATCCCAGAGATTTCAGAATAGCCATTGTCGAGGGTTGTTCGTGCGTGAGACTGCGAGTCGGTATGATCTACACAACAGAGGTCGGCGTTGAAACTGATGTCGAGGTTGTAAACCCTAAAAACAATGTCCTATTTTTAATACACAATTTACCAATTAATTTATGCTCCCATGTATAATGTTTGCACTAAGATTTGCTGTATCTGTAACCTTCGTACCTTATCGGATACGGTTTGAATTAATTATATTTACCAGCAGAAACAGCTTCCTTCCCTAATTACCAACTGTTTATACAATTCTCACGGCCTTTCAGGTAACATTAGTACTCGGAATTGGATTTACGTCGTGGCCAAGCACAGCTCATTTCCCGACGAGAATATATTTAACCCATCCCGACTTCCTCCTTTATCACCAGGTCTCCTGTACGGTAAGTGACGATTCTGATCTATTCTATTTATAAAAGTTTGTATCGATAATCGAACAGGATTTAAAAGGGTTTTTACGTGGTACCGGCTCCACCGCATCCGACTCTGAGGTGCGACGACAGGCCGTCGACGTGGCAGATCAGGTTTCCCGCTGCAGAACAATCTCTTCTGAAGCACTACTCTGCCAACAGTCTTCCTTCTCGGGTTCTCGCCGTGCTTCGTGCTCTCCTGCACGAAATCCGCTGCACCAACAATGGTAAAAACAATTCCGACTTAAAAATGGAAAGTGTGCGACGCTCTATGTTTCAGGAGGACAGGTCATCAGTGACTACATGCTGAAAACTTTGCTGTGGTTTCGGTTGGAAGAAGTGGTCGGCCTGAAAGACTGGACCCACGACAAGTTGGCTATACACGTCCTCGTTATCGCCGACAGGCTTGTTTCCGCTTTACGAACACAAAGGCACAGCTCCTACTTTTTCCCATGGTTTAACGTAATAAAAATTTTTATTATCTCATAATCACCAAGTTGCACTTTTAACTATACTTTGACAGAATCACTTATAAAACTAGAAGAACAGATAAGAAGTTGTTTTATTATGTAACACCAACAAATATGTTAGTTAGTGATAGCAAATGCATGAAAAATATAGTTTCAAATCAATGAAACGAAATTATAACTGCAGTTTAAGGTTTAGTATTCTACTGATTTAATTTTATTGTATAAAGTTGTTAATTTTGATCAAAGTATAACCACTCAATAAGTAAATTTATGTTAAGAAGTTTTAAGTGGGTAAACATGCGTAAAGTTCATAATTACAAAGTGCTTTATCAGTATTTTGCGCGGCACTTAAGTGTTTAACGATCACTGAGGATTGTTGTTCTACAATTTTCGGTATTTAGTTTACTGAACGAAACATGAATATTTCATAAAATTCTATTATTATCGGATCAGCCTTTGTGCTTTCGAAGAATTCTGCATTTTCCCCTTTAGCCTACCTTAACCTGCAGCCGACATCAAAATCACTTCTCTCGTAATGCACATCCCACGTAGAATTCTTTCAACGATGAAATCACATTTTTCCACGTTCGGGTCTGCTTTTGCATTTTAGGTAAAATGTATGAAAAAGCATCTGGAGCTTTTTCTTAGATATGAATAGTGATATAATTTTTTTTTTTTAATTGGTTATATATCAATATATATTTTTTTTTATGAAGAACATTCTCAAACCCTTGTTTGAGAACTATAAAAACCGATCAAACCTTTCACTAAGAAAGCCTCAATTTTCGGCAGAATAGAAAAAATTATAAGTGCAAGAGGAAGAAATCGCTATCGAAAAAGGAAAAGTTCTGCACCCACTCTCTGATCTAAACCCCCATCTTTTTCTCAAGTAAATGTCCCATATTCTATCCACTTACATTGTCTATTGTATATTATAGATGTACTTGAATAAGGCAATTTAAAATGGCTATTTCCCTATTATTAAAGGAATCCGAGGTGTCTCATTTTTACGTAGAATTTCATCGTTATCCGTGAACTTTTTACATCAATATGAGACCTGGTTAAATTATTGGACAGTTTTATTTATTTATTACGTAGCGCTGTATTACCAATTTTTGCTATAATAAATTTTCTTTACGCAGCTATTTGATAAATTTCGATCTTAGACTACTATATGACATCAGAAATTAAAAATTATTTAGCCTGTTCAGGATATTTCTATTGTTTGATGAACTGTATTATAACTTTCTGAAAACAAAAATTTATAATAAAAAAATATTTGTTTTACTAACGTTAAGTTTGTGATATGCTGCCTGTTGTAATATGTTTGTTATTTGTCAACATGGTGACCGCCTTAGGTTATCTTTTTTGCAGTTTCTTGCAGTATGTTTTCGTCAAACATACGTTACATCTATACTTACATTTAATGATAAGACAGATAAAAGGTCATAATTTATTCAATACTTCTATTAGTTTATTTGTCACAAATCGTCCTGGTCCGCATGTTCTCGCTAATTCGATTAGTTAGTCATATCAGTCAATCTTCAGTGCATGTCGCGAATTTCCTTCTTAATACATACAAGGATGAATTATAAAAAATGAATTAAGGTGTGTCTCAAAGAAACGTCCTCTCTGTATTTTCATTTCGATTAAAATATTATATAAAGATAGGTTTTATATTTTTTATTAAAAAACGTTTAACTGCAGTTCTTTTTTTTAAGAAAAACTAACGTTGGGTTTTCATACTTTATTGTTTCTCTGCAAACGAATAAAGTTCAATTACAAAAAATTTAGCAATAATGAATAGACCAGGATCAATGGAACTAGTGATTAACTTAAATAAATTTATTGTATAGCATTTCCAATTCTATTTGAACTTTTTCCAATACAACGATTTACAAATTAATTGTAACCCTTTTCATTGAGCTGAAACCATTTCCAATTCTAATCTAAACCCTAATATTTAAATGTTTACTAAACGACTAACGAAAATTAATTTTCGAAAAACAATTTTCTCTCATTAAACTATATTATAAACATTATTCTCGGATTTCATCAACATGCGGTATACGAGTCATGATTTGCAGTGGGAAGACGGTGCAGTAGGTAGCATTGCCAATTATGAAACCCTTCTCGTTAATATTAACATATCTAGATTGACAAAGAGACATAGTTAACAGTTCAATTTACATATTAACAATGTACATACGCCAAATCACAATTGTTCAACATTCGGTTTAACAAAACTTGTTTCCTCGACAAAATACAGTCATAGTTGATTACTTAATCGAAGTACTTTTTCAAAATTCAAATTTTCAGGACTTTTTCAAATAAATTATATAATCAGTTGAACTTTACGTCCTAGCTAATAACAATAAAATTTAGACTATATGCCAATTAGATTTTCAACTAAATGCTTAGTTCACCCTGTGGTCAATATACAAAAACTCTAATAAAAATTATTATTTGGAGATCGTGAGATGCGGTCTGGTGTGACGTTGGTTTTAGAAAAACATTTTCTTTATCGTGGCAAAGTTTCGATCTTCATTAAGATCATCTTCAGGGCAAGTTTCTTCTCATTGTTCTTATTTTCTTTTGTTGAAATGCAGACATCACAAGCCCTGAAGATGATCTCAAGAGAGGTTGAAACGTGGCACGATAAAGAAAATGTTTTTCTAAAACCTACATCACACCAGCCGCATCTCACGATCTCCAAATAATCATTAATACGGTCACTAAACACCATATATTTTTAATAAAAATATTTTATTAGATGCCTGAACAGAGGGTATATATGTTAATGACGTGGAAACGTTCACTCAGTAAGAATTGTGTTTAAATATGTGAATGTATTGTAGTGATTTTTACTGTCAGGAGCTGGGGAGCAAGGTAGAGTTCGGGATCCCAAAATTTTCCTCCAGTTAGAAAACAAGAATTTTATTTACATAAAAGGTTTCTTTTTTACATCGGTTTATTAATATCAAATGAATGTCTTCAGAGATAGGGGGGCAAGCGAAGAAAAAAGGGCCTGCCTACCTTTCCTGAGGTGGTCCGGTGTCCTGGGTTGGTCCCTTCCGGGAAACGTCCTCCTTTCTTCCTTTCTCTCCTCCTTGCTTTCTCTCCTTTTCCGCAATCAGCCCTGTTCTTCTTCCGCCGTCCAGCAACCTTCCGGTCAGGGAACAGAATTCTCCCCTCTCTGCTCCTTTTTGGCATATATCCTTTTTCCCCCACTCCCGGTGGATGTGGACGCTCTCCATGGGTAGAACCGACCTGTGGGGGGGTAGGCGAGAGATGTGTGGTGATGAAGCCCTGGACAGGGCCGTCTGTGGTGGTTCCTCTAGGTCACCACAGTATTATGCATTTGTCCAGATGCTTTTAAAGTAGAATAGGTTAAATTCCTACCCCGAACTGATTATCATACAGAATGGATCTTTGTCTGCACTAATCTACATTGAGGAAGTTCTCCTCAAAGCTGTAATCGCATTCGCTCCTTTTTTTGTAGATAACTCACTTTTAGTGCATGATACTGTTCGACCGCATATAGCTCTAGTCATCCATCACTTGGAGGATGTAGAGAATAACAACATGAATTGGCCAGCACGTTCTCTTGACATGAATCTCATTGTCTCACACACTTCCACGACATGATAAAGAGACTGGTTAAACATCGTTCGCCGCCTCCAACAACGGTTGAACAACTTCAAGCCACTCTTATTGAAGAATGGGATTTTGTTTCTCAAGGCAAAAACCGATCGCTTATTTACCCAATGCCTAGAAGACTGAATCCTTTTCCGCTGTGCCATAGGAGATAGTTCACATTATTAAGAGCAAAACTAGGTAATAAATTGTAACACATACTGATGTGTCACAGAAGTGAAAAAATATTCCTTTTTCGCGGGGTGGTATAATCTGTCCGGCTCAATGCAGAGGGCCTCTTAAGAAAGCTGGATGGCCAAGGTCCTAAAACTGTTCGCCGAGGAGCTCCACAGACTCCCGATCATCGAGTGCGACAGGGAAACTATTATTATTATTATTGTTATTTATTTAGAAATCGTGAGATGCGGTCTGGTGTGATGTAGGTTTCAGAAAAATATTTCCTTTATCATGCCAACGTTTCGATCTTTATTGAGATCATCTTCAGGGTTTGGGATTCACAAACATTGTTTACATTTAACAAATACATGTAGGATGTGGAAAAAAGTGAATTTATACAATGCAAAATATATTTTTTTCTATTCAATCAAAGTATTTCTACTTACTCAAAGTGTTTGTGACTTCGGTGTAATTGTGCCATTCTTGTGTGTCGTGTTGAGAGTGCCAGTGAGATATTGCTATTTTATGTTGATATACGTTGGATTTTGAAGGGGTGGGGAAGGAAGTCGGTATAGAAAAGGCATTTTTGTATAAGGATGTAAGTTGCTGGACAGTTTAAACAGTTTATCTTGTAGATTGTCAGATTTATTTGTTGTTGGTGTGGGATCTTTAATTTTGGAAAAAAGTGTTTGAATTGTTTTATAACTTTTGAAAGCTATTTTCAAGTTATCGGAGAAGAGAAATGTGTTTAATCACACCAGACCGCATCTCACGATTTCTAAATAAATATCGATTAACGGTCACTAATCACCACACATTATTGTTATTTTTTTTTATAAGGTATTTTTGGTTTTGTTAGTGAGAGATATATTCTTTTTAAAATTCTTGTGAGTCTGCCAACGGGAAATAAAGTATTAAGTTTCGAACAAAGTGTTAAATTTTCTATTTATTTAATGGAATTTTTCCTGTTTATTTTCTTTTCTTTTGTCTTTGTAAATTTCACTCAAGCCTGATTATCTTGAGGTTGTCTTCAAGACCTGTTATTTCTAAGGATCACTATTCACCGAGAGAAAAAATAGTGTGGCACCCGATCTATGTATTTATTTGTACAGCCCCACGAACTTCACCAAGCTACCGGCACCCAAAACTCGGGTTGGTCGTCACGAAACCCGTGGCAAAATTGTTAGTAAAATTTTAAGATATCAGTAAATAATTTTCCGTTGTTTTAGTGAATTTTCTTTTAAACTGTCGTAATTAAAGAACGTTTATTAATTAAAATTACTTTAAATCCCATGAATTTCTAATTTATTTTAACTCGATTCCCATTAAAATAAGTATGGTGTAATTATTACAACAATAAAAAACATATAATTTGAAATAAAGAAGAAAATACGAATGTCTTTTTCCTACATATTTTGTATTTGAGGTATAAATGAGGATACATCGCACTACAATACCATTAACTATTTTCCTATATTTCGATCTCAACAGTTTAACTTATAATTTTTCCTTCTCGAAGGTGGGATAATAGGTTATCTCAAAAAAACAACAACCAGTTTTTCTGTCAATCCACAACGTTCGGATTTATTTTAATCCTTCCTCAGTGAGTTAACGCAGTGGTTAAAACAGTGGTCGTCAGTCATTAATATTTTGTAACAGTTTATTTAAAAAAAGAGCCAGTGTGGTACATATTTAAGTTTATCAGTCGACCTCTGTTTTAACCACTGAGTTAACTCACTTGTGGAAGGATTAAAATAAATCCGAAACGTTGTGGATTGAAAGAAAAATTGGTTGTTGTTTTTTTGAGATGACCTATTATCCCACCTTTGAGAAGGAAAAACCATAAATTAACTATTTTGTTAATAGACTTACGCAATCTACACTCTCTCTCTCTCTCTCTCTCTCTCTCTCTCTCACACACACACACACACACACACACACACCCACACACACACACACACACACACACACACACACACATGTTCTTATTTAAATAAAAGGTTGAAGCATAGTTGAAGCAAATTGCGTTTCAACGTGTAAGGCGTAAACACCGTCCGTGTTCTCAAAGTTGTACCACACAATAAAATGACAGACAGTATATGTACAGATAATGCTGAATTCCCCCGGAGGCGGTACACTGCATTACACCGAAGAGGATTACAACCACGACGCAGACCTGCTAACTTACCATCTTCGGCGGTTCACGGACATCGCCCCGTGTAGCGGTGACCCGGATCCATGGCGTCGGGTGGAGACGGCGATGATAGACAAATGGATATCGGTTTTGACAGATCTCACTCCTCCACAGGCGACTCGGGGGACGCGCATGTCTTTCTATCCTTTATCATCCTCCGGTATGTTGTCGTTCTATGTACTTTTCAAAACCGATCACCCGTCCGTCGTTTATTTTCGCTTTTTGTTTCCGTCTTGACCTTAACGACTAAGATACCAGGCCAATTCCTTGACCGATCTTATAACAGTGCTGCTAACTAGCTTCTGAAAGACATTCATACTCAATTTTTTTAAACTGTATATCAACCCTGGATACTGTTTCAAAACAAACACAAATCTAGAATCTGGACTTACAATGATTTTTTAAAAATAAAAGATGCTTTATGGTTAAAGTCTTTTACATTATGCAAGCCATATTGCATTCAAAAATATAAAATGTATATAAAATTTAAGTATAAGGTAATTAAAATTTATATAATATTGTACAACACCTGCTCGATAAGTAGTTCGAATGATATGATTGACGGATCAGAACGCCTGAAATTTTCATCCGCTAAAGATAGTGGTGAGACAAAAAGCGAGAACGAACCCGTGATTAGCAATATTGCCGAAATTTTTATAAAACATTAATTTTTTTTTGTTCTAGGCTATTCGACTATCGCGGCCTCACAGTATTCAAACCGCCAACTTACGTATATTGGGCATCTCCTAAGATGTATGTTAAACGTCCGTTCGTTGACTCTGAGCAAAGTATACTCCATTCAAATATTTAAAATAAACAAAAACTCACGTAAATGCAAAATTTTAGACGAACAGCCTTCCCTGGTTTCAAGGACATGCACCAGAGAATAATGCAAATAGCGAGGACTTGGTCTATCTCATATCCACGATTCTCGAACAGGCGAAATATTCGTTTTTCGGCATGACTAAGCAGTTCCATGGCATTAAAAACAAATCAAAGGCCAAGACCGTTTCAGAATCTTACGACAGCGCTGCTAACCAGCTTCTGGAAGATATCAGAAACGATAAAAAGCAGATTGACATCACGGACGACAACGTGGTTGTTAGAGATGTCCTCAAATGGCTCTACTATGGCCTGGACAAGGACCGCAAATATTTGGCACCTGTATTGAGACCATATCTGGCCAAACTGTTTAACGTTTCCCACGAAAACTGCTGGTACATTCCTGACTGGTCGAGAAGGCAGGACACCGATGAAATCGAGTCCCTGTCCAAATTCTGCAAACTAGTCGTAAACGGTAATATCAACGCAAACGACGGAATCGTCGACGCCTTTCATAAAGGTAATTTATTATAATTTTATTTAGATTATATATTTATTAGATTTGGATTTATTAATAATATTTTTATTAGATTCATTGTCTTTTACTAAATTAATTTATGTCTTGTAAGGCTGGAGCTGGGCTGAATCAATAATAAAAACAACTTCTGAACTGGCAGACGGGGTTGAATTGATATTCACCCCTTTTCCCGGTAAAGTCATCCGTCACAAAGTCGTAGATAGCAAGTTGGACCTCACAAAGAACACTATTTCTAGAAGTCTCGGTAGAAAAAAAGTTGTAAGTGAACAGAAGGGATTTTCCTCCGCCACCTTACCCAAACATATTAAGCCATTCAGAGGTCAGTCAATCAATCCTTGCCAATCTTGACTTTTAGAATAAAAAAAGAACATTTTAATACAAATTGTTTCCATTTGGAAAAAACAGAGTGCCTTCAATCGAGGCTACAGAGAACAACAGTGGATGACGATCTTCTCACGACATCCCACAACATATTGAAATCTTCCAGCCCGATGACACAGACGATAGAAAGTATACATCGATACGGCAACCACAGGGGTATAGGGAGCATCGTCCACTCTTTAATTACATTGCGGAAATTTTCGGTAATTGGAACAAACCTGTAAAAACCCGGCCACCGGCTAAAAGTTAATTTCCGTTCGGCAGATATTACAAGAAGTCTGCGCCATTCTTCCCGAGAGCGACAGGGCTCAAATATTGGATGAAATCCAGCGAGTTAGCAAGGAAGCCAGGCGACCCAGGCGACTTGCCAGAACGATATCGGCTCGCATGAAACCTACACAAATTTACAGGTAATAAACCATGCATTCCGTATTTACATTACCTCAAATCAATAAAAATCACTAAATGTAGCAAAATAATAAATAGTAATAAAAAGTAATAAAATATAAACCATGGAAAAAATTGGCCGTTGAAAAAAAAAGCAATCAACTCAGAAATATATAAGAAATTCCAATATATAATAAAAATTAACGTACGATTACAAGTATAGTACATGATATAATATATATTTATCTCTTTCGAATCGTTGAAATCCTTTGAAAGATCGCATATATTAGCTTGAATGCATGCGATGACAAGTAAAAAACCATGAGACTGATTTCACTCATTACTTCACCTTACTGATAAGGTGGTAGAATAGATACATGGATAGAAAAATTTATTTTGCAAATCAGTTTACATTTGACAACTGAAAACAGAAATCATTTTTACAGCAAAAGCACTCCGGATCGCTATAACATCCTTTGGCAGAGTAGTTGATTTATGATCATTTAATTGCGACAAAATTAGATTTTGAAAAATGGTTTCATTGACCCATCACACACACACACACACACACACACACACACACACACACATATATATATATATATATATAATTATTATTTGGAGGTCGTGAGACGTAAGTGTTAGAAAAACATTTTCTTATCGTGCCAACGTTTCGACCTTTATTGAGATCAACTTCAGGACCAGGGATTAATAAACATTGTTTACATTTTGCAAATACATGTAAGATATGAAAAAAATAAATTTATACAATGCTAAAAAATTTTAGATAAAAAAAATAAATTTATACTTTATTGAGATCATCTTCAGGGCTAGGGATTTATAAACATTGTTTAAATTTTGTCTCAGCCCGACAGACAAGATGAAACAGCTACTCGGAAAACAAACACTTTGAGTGAGTTCAAATACTTTGATTGAATCTAAAATTTCTAGCATTGTATAAATTCATTTTCTTTAATCTAAAATTTTCTAGCATCGTATAAATTCATTTCATTTTTTTCACATCCTACATGTATTTGTAAAATTTGAAAAATGTTTATAAATCCCAGGATCTGATGATGATCTCAATATAGATCGAAACGTGGCACGATAAAGAAAATGTTTTTCTAAAACCTACGTCACACCCAGACCGCATCTCTCGACCTCTAAATTACCATCACGTAACTACGTAACTGTCACTCACACACACGCACGCACACACACACACACACATATATATATACACACAAAGTTATAAATAGATAAATAAGTGCATCTATAAATAACTATATATGCTTAAATAAATATCTCAATAATGAAATAAATTAAAAAAAATAGCACATAGATAATCAAACATCAAACGATTAAAAATACTAACTAGCTATAATCCCTTTTTGCTGGTATTAATGTTTTGTGTTTCGCACCAACCACCAATAGAACGACATATTGGACGTTGGGATTGTTTAATCATCCAAAATAATTTAGTTGCCGTCCCATGCACCTCTTCACCAATCCAGGTAGCGTTCGTGATCTCATACAACACGGTAAATTTTAAACTTTTACTGGTGCTAGTGGCAAAACAAAAGAATTCGTTTTGAACAATCTGGTGTTTGTTTAAGTTGGTCTTACAAGTGTGGCTCCAAGAGAGACATGCGAACAATAAAATATTGTAACAAGTATGTTGTAAACGAAGAGTTTGTCGTTACACTGATGCCTAATTCTCTCCTAGGTTGCGCGAAAAAGATTCTGACAGCAAATTTGCTTCTGCCCACGATATTTTTAATATAGTCTCTAAAGTTTATATTCGAGCCCATTACACACTCAGGAAAGTGCTTTTCTTGGACCACCCAAAATGAATTCTTTCCATAGTTTTTTGTGGAAGATAATGGGCCAGCGTTTTGTGAAAAGAATGCAGCTAATTTTCGGGATGTTGATCTTCAATTTCCATCGGAAGCAGCTGCGTATTACTCGTGTGGGCTCGTCATTTAATCTGCCAGAGATAACATTGATTAAACAAGAAGAGCAGTACAGTGCTGGTCGAAGAAAAATAGTGTACTATACCTACACCATTCTAGAGTAAACAAAATAAATATATCAAAGAAAGAACGTCGTCAGGAGTGCGCGTGTATGTGAAGTTTTAAAACCTTCATGCGAGACCAAGATGTCAATAACCCCATAATTTAGATTCGATCGCCTAACTGGCAGGACTAACATAGGATAACTAACGACACAAATAAATGAATAAATTGATGTTTCACGTTTATATGCTCACGAGTTGTTCAAAATGAGAATTGAAAAAATGTCGATATTCTTTACAGGTCAACTAACGAGCTTTCAAACCTGCAGAACGATGAAAAGGATGAGGAGGCGGGTGGGACTTTAATGGGCACGTGTCGGCAGCTGCGAAATCGCAACTCTCACCCTTCCGTCTTTAACCCTGCGTTCTTCAGGTTTGATAACTAAGTTGTACGACTCATGGCCATAATTATGCTAAGTATTTTTTTTGTGTTTTTACAGGGCGCCGGAAACAGAGGCTGTATCGCCGTTGTACGTCAACCCGCCGAAAAGGGTGGGCAGCCTGTCCAACGAGTCCGAGATGATGTATCTGATGAGGAGCACTCGTAGGAAGAGCCTGAAAAGAAACGAAGTCACGACGAACCTCTGATCCAAGCCCGAAGTGATGACTCAGGAGGTGCCCTTGAGGATCATTTGCTACAAGTCATCCACCCCTAGAAGACTACTTAAACAATAAATAAATTGTGAATTTATTGATAATGTATTAGTATTATGTACATATTTTAGAGATAATTATTTATATTGCTAAACACTTAACTTAAAAATAAATTTATGGTAGTAACATAGCGTGACTGTATTTACGGAGAAGATACACAAGAAAATAAGTAAGAAAATAGAGCAAGAAGACAATATAGTTTTTTATTTGTTCTTTATATTGTAAATGGATAATCATTAAGGAGTGTTGTCACTGAGTAAAGTTTTCTGCAAGTGACACAAACTGTATCAACCATCATCATTAGAAAATATTTACTTAATACAATTATGGTGGTCAATGACACAGAAAAAAACATAACAATTAATAATTAAGATTTACCGGAAACAACTTTTGTGCCTGCACTGTCTCTGGACAATAAATATTTCTTATCATTGATAATTATATGTTAGTTTACTAAATGATGTTTAAAGTGTTTACGGTTATTCATTTTTGAAACCAAACGAACAGCAATTACCTTGTACTATGAAATATTAAATTATATAAAGGAAAAAAGAATTCATTGGTGTAGCTTGTTTATCTGATTGCGACTTTGTCATAAAACTATTGATGAGTGTGACCATACAATAGGCGATGTTAAGCAGACTATGGAGACAAAACTAAGGTATTAATTTAGATAGGCTACCAGAATTATTCGGCTCACCTTAAGTTCAATAAATATAATCCATAATAGAAGTTTTGGATAGGTGAAATTATTTTAAAGATTTCAATGACATCCTCAAAGTTATCGTTTTTAAAAATGGAATCAATGAAACATTTTAGGGGGATCTGTGTTTTAAAACTACCTATGCCAAACGGCAGAATTTCCTTTTAAAAACAAAAATATTATATTGACACATAAGTGGAAAATTGGATAAAACGTGGTAAAGGACACGATGAATTTTATTTTTTTAAATAATTAATTACTAATGAAAATGAATATGTTTTATAGCATAAGAACTAGGGATATGGATAGGGATAAGAGATGTGGCCACAAGGCCTACTGCACCTCGCCCTGAATCGATCTATTGTCTCCTCTATTATTGGCCAGCTTCAGGCTATTAACCAGCCTTCACAGCTTTGCCAGCGGTTCCTTGGAGTAGGATCTTGCTTGTGGTTTTTCTTGTCCTAGATGCAAGAACCTGCACCTACATAGACATTCACAGAAACATAAAATGTGGTCTACTGTCTCCTCGTTTTCCTGGCAGTATCTGCACAATGTTTCTTCTGTCTGTACTCCTATCCGGTGCATGTGCTTTCTTAAGTGGCAGTGCCCAGTCAGGAGTCCAACCAGAATCCTGATTCGGTTGCGGTTGCCTTTCAGTAGTTCTTTTGTAAGATTTGCGAATGGTCCTTCTATGAATCTCTTCGCATGCCTCGTACCTGCGGTATTGTTCCACCAGGTTTCGGACTCATTAAGGATCCATTTTAAGATGTATTCTCTTTTGTGGCAGGCTGCTAGGCCGCAGTAGGATTCTGGGCCTATAGAGTCCATGTTGGCTCGCTTTTGGCCGACATGTCAACCTTTTCGTTGCCTTTGTGCCCCGAATGACCAGGGACCATGCGAAGGTCAGGCCATTAGTGTCGCTGACTTCCGTCAGGGCCTCCATACGTTTCCAAACTCTTTTTGCCTTTGCCTCCCATGAGACTAAGGCCCCTGAGAGCTGCCTGACTGTCAGAGAAAATGGCTAACTTCCGAGAATGTATTCCTAGCCTTTTTAGTTCTCTGGCACATTGTTCAATCGCTGTGATTTCAGACTGGAAAACTGTAGCATACTTACCTAGGTTTACCGCCTGTTCGGTCTTCGGGTTAATCCCAAAGACCCCCAGCTCCCGTACATTTGTCAGTTTTGGAGCCGTCAGTATACCAGTAGAAATTCACCTGTTGGTTTCCCTTGGCCCATTCTTACTTCTTGGTGAAGTTGTACTTTGGAGTAGTGGCATCAATTGGCATACCTAGAATGGCATCTGCCTGTATCTACTCCCTCAGTTTCCATTATTTATTCACATGATCTATCCTAACAGATAGGTTGTCCATTTATGATCTGTGGGCTGCTGCTCTGGCTTCTCCTTGGATTAAAATGTGAAGTGGTGAAAGGTTTAACAAAACTTCCAGGGCCGCAGTTGGCGTTGTGCTCATGGCACCAGTGACACTGAGACACGCTTTTCTTTGGGTGCCACTTAGCAGACTTACCTCTTTGGCCTGAAGAGTTTTGGTCCACCATACGACCGACCCATATGTCAACATAGGTCTTACGACACAGGTCTATAGCCATAGGGTCATTTTGGGGTTTAGCCCCAGCATAAGAACTAGCTTATATTATCGTTAGATTCTATAAAGTTATTTAGATACGGCAAAAACCGAAATATAGAATTAAGATATATTTCTCAATATATAATTGTAAAGTTACGCAAAATAATTATTGTTTGTGATCATTTCTTATAGTACACTGCTTTCCTAACTACTTAATTTTTATATTATCTCGATTCTAATCATGATGCTCGTAGAAGGAAGGAATCCTTATTTGATTTTAGCTCGTAGATTTTGCGGTGGCACGTCAACATTGCCAATTACGAAAGCCGCATGCCAATTAGACGGGGTCTTTTGTGCCACCTGAGCCGTCGATAGGACTTAATTCGGCCAGTTATAATAATATTGAATTTTACACAATAGGGTCGCCTTTTCATCTAGATCATTTTTGAAGGGGTTAGCAAAAGCACAAAACTTCTGAGAGGCTACTAATTAAACAAATAATCTCGTTTTGTATGAGAAATTATCTTTCTATGGCTTTCATCGTGTTGTTAAACTTGCTGTATTTCATTATTAACGAAGAAAATATAAGGATACATACATAGAACTGTAGTGATTTTTACTGGTTAGGAACTGGGGAGCAAGGTTGAGATCGGGATCCCAAAATCTTCCTCCAGTTAGAATACAAGAACTTTATTTACACAAATGATTTTTACACGCTTATTGATGTCAAATAAATGTCTTCGTAGGTAGGGGGGGGGGCGAGCGAAGAAAAAGAGGCCTGCCTACCTTTCCTGAGGTGGTCCGGTGTCCTGGGTTGGTCCCGTCCGGGAACCGTCCTCCTTTCTTCCTTTCTCTCCTCTTTCCTTTCTCTCCCTTTCCGCAATCAGCCTTTTTTGTCTTCCGCCGTCCGGCAACCTTCAGGTTAGGGAACAGAATACCCCCTCTCTCCTCCCTTTTGGCATATATCCTTTTTCTCCCACTCCCGGTGGATGTGGACGCTCTCCATGGGCAGAACCGACCTGGGGGGGATAGGCAAGAGATGGGTGGTGATGAGGCCCTGGATAGGGCCGTCTGTGGTGGTTCCTCTGGGTCACCACAGAACATATATATTTTGACTAAAGAACTCATGATGAACCGATATAGGGTACTGAATATTGAGTCCATTTTCACTCGCGCCATCTTCAGTGAGGAATAAACAAACTCAGTCCTAGTTCAACATATATTCAACGACTAACAGACCAACATCGATCATCAACTTGGATAAAGAAATTTTTAAAAAATATTGGTAAAAAACAATCAAATATAATAAACTTAACTATATTTTGTTTTACTCAATTAATTAAGTAGAAGCTGATAAAATAATTAAAAATGTATATTTTGTTTTATTCCAAACATAATTAAAAAATGATCATAATTATTACGTCGTAGATTGAAAATTTTCAAATTTACTATTACAAGCAACGATAAGTTGCATGAAGACGGTTTGGGTAATTTAACACCAGTAGGCAAAGACGGATAATTAACGTGTTTACAATAAATTGAGTTTTAATTAAATAACACCCGACAATTCCTTTGCCCGATTTATCAAAGGATCCATCAAGATTACAAGATTAATGGCCGTCGCAGTCCCAAGAGTAAAGGGAAACGGAGCATTTGCATGAATTAAGGCCTTCAAATGCATTCCATTGTCTTGGCAAACCATTAACTACTTATGCAAACCATCTGTGATCCAAGAGAGGGATTGATCAGCCCCAGTGTAGGTGGTTTACATAAGGACGGGTTTCCGGCCCGCTTCACAGCCAGGTTCATTATATACCTGAATATTAACAGCCATTATAATGTAGTACTAAAACAGAATATTTTTGTCATTTCAGTTTTAAGTTCAACAGTAAGAAGCTGTTGTTTTTCACATCTAAAATTTAAAAAAAAAAAGTCATTTACATGTTGTACGATGTCAGCAGGCCTACAAGAAGTGAGTAGCTAAATGCTGTTTGAAATTTCTTTGCTTTTTGAATATTTTGAATAGCTGGAACCTCTTGTATCTATGCAATACTTCGATCATAAATGAAAACTGCCTCAGAAAGTGTCAAAAACTTTAAAAAAATTGTTCATTTCTACTTCTCAGTTGGTTCTACTTGTCATTGGAATACTCCAAGATAGACCCACTGGTTTGTTTTTCATAAGTTATTGAAAATGTAATTTATTTTTTACGTGAAACGCTTGTTGACCATAGTTTGGATTTTGATTTGATATTTTCTCGGTATCGGAAGTAATACGGGAAACTAAGCTCGTCAGGATATTGAAGGCTTTCTAAGACAGCGGCTTACTGTTGCATTTCCTCCTGGACACGAAGGTACACTGCGTTCTCATACAAAACACAGACCTACCCACACTAACATAATCTCACTAATACTACCACATCTACGAAGGTTCTTGAGGTGAAATCCGTGTCTCACGTACTGGAAATGGAGCCGCAGTAAGGACACAACTCCGTCACACTGATGTGGTAAGGCGGAGGACATGGTATACCCCACAGATGGCGAAGAAGTCCATGCCCTTATGCCCCCTTAAGCATGCCTCCCGTCGGCACGCCACCACCAATACGCAGATGTACATATACAACATAAAATCTTCATCAATAGCGGTAGATCTCTGTCTCCTTGGGTGTCCGGGAACCCTGCTCCTGTGGGTACCAGAGGAAAACTATGTTATGGCGCTTTCGGGCCTCGAGGGCGGGACCCGAACCCCTGGGTAGCCATCGGAGAGGCCGTTCTATCACTTCGTACATAATGTTGTGGTGCCTAGTACTTCCAGCTGGTGACTGGATTGTTAATATGCAGGGCATCGTGGCGGGCCTTCCTGAAGCCAAGCAAGTTGTGGACAGATCAGAGAACCACCCAAATGGGACGGGCGATCTCCCTCAAATGTTTGGATTGAACTACTCACATGGTACAAATAAAACTTACAGGCAATACACAAAAATAATGAAGATGAATTGGAAACAAAAAGGAAAAAGGAGTACAATTGCCTACTTAACCACGGCTCGACCATACCGACAACTCCCCTTCCTGTCACAATACCCCACCTATCCTAATAACATTCACAATCCCCCTTAACGGATTTACATTGTGAATATCCGGAAGTTCCAACTACACCTCAGTCACGAAGCCCTCAATGCTCCACCCTTTCACCCACCAAAAACCTCTCCCAACAACCCTGTACTTCCTATAGGATTATGGATGAAGGGTAC